ATATATATATAAGTGTCAGGCACAATTATATGCAGAACTTGACACGAGCTCGGAAAAATCGAATGCGATGAGGAGAGAGCAGTGAAAAGTGAGACAGAAAGAGGGAGATGTCAAAAGGGAAAACAAGAGGAGGATGAAGGAGAGGGAGCGAGGACGGGCGGGCAGGAGAGAGGGACCGGATCAGTGATCCAGAACAGTGAGCAGACTGAAGATGCACGTTAGGAGTGCAGCTGTGCATCAAACCCTCCGCACACAGATTCAGACACGTCAAACATAAAGACGTTTCTAAATCGAGTACTTCAAATGGCCACACTCCCACAGCGCTTCAGGCCTAATTAATTTAATATCCTACCTGGAACGATGGAAACGGTGTCTCTTTCCCAGGACACGACGCTMACGTACTCCTGGACAGCAGCAGGAATGAGGCACTTGAACACTGCTACGTTGCCCCGCATTGAGCGCTGGTCCGCCACCCGCACAGTGTAGGGCTCCCTGAAAACTGCACACAACAACAAACAACTTCAGAATCTAGAAACTTTTGCACTTGTTGAAGGAATGCACATCAAACATTTTAAACTCAGATCATCTAATGCCAAAAATGATGGAGTTGGAGATGCTTCGGTCAAACCTTGACTATAAACCTTGTGAAAAATCACCAAATCTCATGTAAACAGGCAGTTACAGCTCAGAGTGCGTTTTGTGAATGACTCTCAGCTAATACCACACCAAGTTTTTTCTCTGTCTGTAAAATTCACCGACTTGCAGCCTTGTTCGTGTTTGCTAACATCAACTAGCTCTGGTGGCTTTGAAGTTGGATTGATTGCAACCATTATTATTTTTACAGGATGTTTGATTAAAATGTGTCTCTTTGGTCAAGAGATATTCAGCTAACACACACAAACACAGACATGAACATCAACATCCACCTTTTGTATTTTTATGGGTGAAAACAAGTYGTGTCCTGATACCAGCATTTTTACAAGTACTCGTTCAAAACAGCCAGTTCGGATATTATCAGTCCATTAAATGGACGTTATTAGCGGTTATCAGTCCCATAGAATGGCTTCAGACTGTCCCGACTGTTTCGTCTAGTGGGTTGTCAATGCTACATACAGTATGTTGGAATGCAACAATCTGCTACTGCCAGAGTCCGGTCTACTTTATCATAGCCCATTCTATTTTCTCTAAAATTAACCTTAGTGGTTTTATGCCTCCTTCTAACCAGATGACAGTCTGAGGTCATTCCATGGGACGGAGAACCCACTAGGCGACACAGTTGGGACAGTCTGAAGCCAGTCTGAAGCCATTCTATGGGACTGATACTGGCTAATAACGTCCATTTAATGGATGATAACATCCAAAGTGGGTGTTCAAAATGCCCCAATACCTGGAATCAATAACTTTTTGTATTTTTTGCATGCACGTTCATATTAGATTTTAAATGCGACCTCCATCAAACTCCAGTATGAACGCTTTATGCCGTCAATGCGACTCACATGCYAAAAAGATGAAGCTGTTTACAGAAGTAAACAGGTGGATGCTACATGTTAGCATGTCGAATCTGGGATTGTTGTYCCATCAGAGCAGATTAAATAATTATCTGACATGCTTGCTTAGTTCAGCATTTGCAAACTTGCCTGTCTGGCTGATTCTTTGCATGTATTTATGGAACGAAGRGATGTGCTGGAAGTAAAACTAACTAACTAACGTTCCAGAAGTCAGATATTTCGACCTCAACTGGAATGCAGTATTATATAAGCCATTTCTCCAAGAGGTCCATGGTGAGGAGCAGGTTCTACAGGACAGCATTGAGTTGCTTTGACAACCATAGTAAACGTCTGGTTTGACTAAAGTAGAACGACAGACTGTTTTCCCTTTTTTGGAGTATAAAATGATCATTTTTCATTATCTGTTTTCAAAAGAACAAACAAATGACCAACAAGTACATGAACTGAAGAAGGCAAAACGTTTGGGATTAGAAATGAGCGAAAWGAGAGCCGGCTCAGTTTTGGAGGCAGAGTTAGACAGTGAGATGGTTTGGAGCTGTGCAGAGTAGGAACAGTGGATGTATGAGATGAAGAAGGTTGAATATGGAGCAGCCTGGGAGGAAGAAATGAGGAAGATCATAGAGAGGTTTCATGGATGTTAAGYAGGAAGATATGCAGAGGGTTGTTGTGACACGGGAATGCTGGGATAGATGGAGGCAGGTGTGGTGATTCCTAAATAAATTGGCCAAATGAAGAAGGAGGAATTTTCACCTATTTTACCAAAACCATATCAACCTCTAAAAAAACAATAACATAAGAACAACTCATCAGTACTAATCAGCCTTCTATCAYTCATCACGAGACGCCACATTAAGTCCCTGACTGCTTTCATCGGAACTCATCTGATCCTGCCTCGGCATTTACCGTATATGGAACAGGCCGCCATTAAACAAGGAGCAAAAAGGAAGTCATTTTCTGGTGTTGGTGTGACATCATCACAAAACACAATTCATTTATTTATTTTGCTCTGAACTTCAAAAGGGTTCAACACAAACKGATTATTGTATTATACATTTTTTATTATTAGTTTGGCGCTTTAGTTTCTGTGGGTTCATGCAATGTTGTACTCTCTGTTGAATGAGCAGCAGCTCATTAGCAAAAATCACATGAAAGCCGGGACGTATCCGAAGGTTGCTAAGAGACTGCTTTGGAATCCCCTGCCTGGTAACAGACACCAAAAACGGTACGCAAACATCCCTGCCGAAGACACACGCATGCAAATTGACATCTTGTTTGGAAAAGATGAATCAAACACGGCAGATCTTGTTTTTATTGGACGTAACGAGTCAGTTCTGACGTGACGGGACTGACACAAAGTAGTTTGAACTTATTGTCGCCCACCACTGAGGATGAAAACAGAGCAACAATGTTTTTGTCAATGACTCTGTCCATTTATCAGTTTTGTTAGAAAAATATTTTCTAAATCACTGAATGGATTTAAATAAACAATAATTACACAACTACAACTGAGTAACAAATTCAAGATGGCCACCACGGCCATCTTGAATCTGTTACGAAGCCATATTCACAAACAAAAACACAATTATTTGTCACATARTGAYTTAAAATTTGGTGTGTTGGTAGCTAAAAATACTGTGACTGCAGCGCATTATGCAACATTATTTGTTAGCAAAATATCTCATGAACCACGGTACAGATTTTAACAAAACTCTCAAAGTATTATATCTACAACTGATTTACATTTAGAGTCAGCTTAATTCAAGATGGCTACCACAGCTAAGGAATCCTAGTCCAGGTAGTGGCTGAGAGTCATTTACAACAAATACTTAAAGCACTAGTAAGATTTACAGTGGAAGGTTATCACATGAGATTAAACTTTATTTTCATGGTTTAATCTGTCTACAACTGTCATTTCTTCTCTTACTGCACGCGATATGCATTCCTTTAAAAAAATACCAGGCCTTTATTTATCAATATTATTAAATCATTTGTTGTGTGACTTGTCCACTAAAGCCACTGGGCCCGATGCGGAATGTTTGCTTCGTGCTAATCTCTCGGCTCCTGAGGCCGGGTTTTTCAGCTCGTGTGGGAATCGGCTGTCGCGTCGCTCAGGGACCTGGCTCAAATCCCCAACTTGGCGCTGGTATTAGTATCAGAATGAATACAAGTATTAGTTCAGGTCGGTGTTGGGAGGCAGAATATGAAAACAGATGTTGATGGCAGGAGGGAAGGGGGAGGGGCCAAACGGCCTGAATGAATGAGAGGAAATGGAACTGGGCGGGGCCAATGGTTGCAGTTTTCACAGAGAGCCCAGATGTACTTCTGATTTTTTTTCCTTTAGGCTTTTTAAAGCAGCATCACGTCCTCTAATCAATGAAAAGCACCAATTAGGTTTGTTAATGAGAMATAATTAAAGAAGTGTGTTGTGGCTAAATTTAGCCTGACACAAGAGGATGGTTTAAAGAAGGAGGGAGAAGGCAGGCAGAGGAGGAAAGAGAGAAGGAAGGATAGCAACAGAGGCAGCCTCTGGTCAAAATGTCCAAAATTAGAACAACTGCATCGTTTGRTGATGCTTATTACTGCCCATCTCCTTTTAAAGCAGGCGATCATGTAATTCCCTGTGTGTTCATCAGTGTGTTGGTTAATGCCTTTGTCTGTTAAAAAAACAATGAAGATCTTTGAATGAAACTCACTACAACTGATTCACTTTGGGTCAACCYAAATCAARATGGCTGCCACAGACWACTTACCTTGAAATCCTCAAAAAGCCTTTAACTCAGCCAATTTTACAAACACTAAGCTAAAACTTGGRGTGATAGTAGCTGAGAGTCATCTTCAACACGTGCTCAAAATCTAAGAGTTRGTGAGATCGTGCAGTATTGCATAAGAGTCAAGATTTGACCAAGATGGGCTTAGTTTAAACCTTTTACATGGAAGGCAACAGTTTTTCACTTATTTATTATTTATGTCTTGAAAATAGGACTTTCTCTGCATCTACAAAATAAATCAAATTGTATGTTTTTAATCAGCTCATCMGTGTCTGTGTTGGTGTATGATTTGATTAACAATTCACGTTTGAGCATAGAAACACTGTGAAGAGATCAATAGCACCTAATCACTGAAGACCTCGTGAACTTTGTATATTTTAATAAAAGCTAAGGGAAACTTTTTGCATTGCTTTAACCTTTTCTGAAGTGAAAAAGCTGTTGATGAGATTGAGTTGGTCTAATGTAGGTTTTATGGTGACTGTTTCGTAGAACCCCAGTTCTTTAAAAAAGGTGAGGATTTTGCGTAAAAAAATACTCAGAATGCAATGATTTGGTTTATGAGATTTGCAAACCATTGRACWTTGTTTTCATTTTTACATTTTTTTCACAACCTCCTAACTTTTTTTTTAATTTGGGTTGGGTTTGATGATGCTGACGGGTTGGGGGGCTTCGTCACACATTCTGTCTGAAAGGTGTGAGCAAAGACAGAGGCCTGTGGCCTCTGTGATGCAGATGTTCTCTGTGTTCTWGGTCAATCTGTGTTCAGGTCAGGGGCTATTTTAGGGCAGTTGATTCAATGTGGGTGGAGCTTTTWATTTTTTTTCTTTGTTGCAACTAACAATCACATCTGCTCTGTTTTGTGCTCTGACAGCTGTCTCGCTTTACTCGTGTTATTGTGTCACACTGTGAACTTTTCCTTCACAAATACTCACCAGCTTTGATGCGGATGTTGGGGCTGCGGATCTTGCCGGCCTGGTTCTCGGCCGTGCAGAAGTAGTCGTTGTCGTGGATGTAGCTGTTGTAGGCCGAGGGCGAGAAGGGGTACAGCTGGAGGGTGCCATTGGCGTGCACGTGGCGGATGTGTGGCACGTCGTAGATGTCGTCGCCGGTGGCCAGGTACCAGCGCAGTATGGCACTGGGGGTGCCCCCCGCAGGACAGGGCAGGGACACCCCCACGGAGCTGGAGTAGGTGACCCTCTGCAGAGAGGCGTTCACAAAGTACAGCCTGGTAGAGCCCACATCCTCACTGTGTACTGCAAACAGACACAACTTTGTCAGCTCAAAGTCCGACAGTGATCAAGTGTTACAAACAACCAGGCGCTGAGACGCCTTCCAAACCAGAGAACATCTCAGTGACGGGGTGGGCACGTCCTTCAGATAAATCACAAAAATAACCGTAACAAATGTATGTCAAATGTCCAGCTGCAAACATCCGTCATGTGACAGAAAAAGCTGGGGATTTGGGCTAAAACCTGCAATGGTTTATGTGGACAGGAGGGGCGGGGCTGGGCGGGGTGGGTGTCTGTTACCTCTGTACAGTTTGTGCACACGTACACAAAGACAACCAGAGACGGGAGGGGAGGAGGGTGGGGCCGCTCGCTGATAGGTTATGTGATTGGAATTTCTATGCCAGACACAGAGATTTTAAATCTATTTAATCTCCTTACATATTTACCACAAACACACACACACACACACACACACACACACACACACAC